TTGTAATTAACGCACAGATCCGCGTCCACCCAGCGTCGGGCCGGTCTGTTTATTTATTATAGTGGTACATCTGTTAAAACTGTACACATCATCGATACGTCTTCACAAAACTATATAAAACGTAATAATTTTGACGTATATAACAATGATTAGTCAATTGTTGATGTCATTATTTATAGTAAAACAAATGAGATCTAAATACATGATGGTTTTTTTTAATAGGTAATAATGTTTTTTTTTTATACAACTTAGAATGGCAAACAAGCTGACGGCCCACCTGATGGAAAGTGGTAACCGTCGCCTATAGACATGAGCACTACCATGGACATAACAGAGTATACCGTTTCGCCCATGATACCCCACATGCGTTACCATTCCTGAGGACTCAGGTGTTATTCCTCTGTACCCAGTAAATTCACGCCATATCCCACCCTTCAAACCGAAACACAGCCATGCAAACACAACTGCTTTACGGTTGAAACACGAATGGGACAGAGGTACCCAAGCAATCGACTTTTGTACAAAGTCTCCCTAATTCCGCCTGCGCTGTCGGTATACACTGGCGGGGCACCAGTGATAGATGACTGATGAGGATGAAAGCAGGTCAGTTAGCCCATCGTGACGAATTCAACAATAAACCAATCAAGATGGTTTCCAGGGGAACCGCGAGGAGGTCGACCTGATAGAGTTTATTGCTAGCAATGGGATTGGTAATCCCCATTGCTAACCCCCAGTACATGACGGTATGGTATGATGTGTGTACTGTGATAATTTTAAGAGTTTGATTGAACGTAACGTAGAAAAATATAAATTGCATGATATTTACATATTTTTTATTTTTATTTTTGAAATTTGTAGAAATTAACAGAATAATGTTAAATCAAATAATTTATTAGATTTAATCACACTTTAGTTGAATTTCATTTCTGATTATGTTATAATAGAAAACATGAAGAAGTACACGTTATGTTTGTGATCTTTTTTAGTTTAGTCAAAAGAATGAGAAGAGGTAGAGTTTTACTATTAAAATGACATATTGGAGTCACTTGTTATGCACTTTCCTAAAGCTTTATGCTTTCGCAATGTCAATTTGCTTTTTACACAATTTTAACTAAATATATCTTTTGGAAAATCTAAAGTAGTTAAAAAAATGGCTAATTCGTAGTCGATTTTCTTAGAAAACAATACGTTTCGAACGCTTACCTTTTGTGTACGAACGAAACTGGGTCGCCACTTGTGATAATTTTTCCTACTTTAGGACTGCTTTAGCATTAATAACTCGATATGTAATGTATAAGCAATACTTGCAGAACCAAGATTGAGAGTAGAATCAATGAACAAGATCAATCCTTGAACTAGACGAATCTAACTCACAATTTGACCCCGCTATGCCCGTTTACCAGCTGCTTTTTTACGCATCCTTTGAACACTTTTAATTTAAATTTTCAACTTGATGAATTGTTATTTGCTCTATCTAGCAACGCTTACGTGAATTTACATTTGTGCAGAAACATCACAGGAATAGACTTTAGAACGTAAATACATTATCGAATTTAGATGCGTTGTGTCTACACGCATATTTTCAGCGATCTATGTATTTTAGGATTACATATTTTACTATTATTTATATAGTTGATTGATAGATATATCTCACTAGTATCCTCGGATAGATAATAATTTAAATATATTAGCGGTACTGGCAGTTTTTTTTATACATCTGTTACTTTGTAGTTTTAATATACGAGTATAAACGTTGTTGAAGTTTCTTATTCTACCGAATGGTGATACAGTAATTCTTTATTATTCTCTAAGTTTTTATTTTGATTGTATTTTTTGTATGTAATTTTATTTCTTTGGAATGTTTATTTTATTCATTTACAGCTTCAATTATTATTTCTGCAATTCAAAGTAAATTTACCTGGTCTAATCGCAGCATACTGTACTATCTAGTTCAGTAATGTTATTTTTTTTTTATACAACTTAGAATGACAAACAAGCTGACGGCCCACCTGATGTAAAGTGGTAACCGTCGCCTATAGACATGAGCAGTAGCATGGACATAACAGAGTATACTGTTTCGCCCATGTTACCCCCCATGCGTTGCCATTCCTGAGGACTCAGGTGTTATTCCTCTGTACCCAGTAAATTCACGCCATATCCCACCCTTCAAACCGAAACACAGCCATGCAAACACAGCTGCTTCACGGTTGAAACACGAATGGGACAGAGGTACCCAAGCAATCGACTTTTGTACAAAGTCTCCCTCTGGTACTACTGCCTACTCCCTCTGGTATTTACTACAATTATCGTTCTTTCGTTAAAAATATAATTATCGTTAATCTTGGCTTCAAAAGCTGTCTGTAATTTTGATGATACTATTCAAGATTATTTGAGAATACAGACGTTATGGGATGTATGTATTATTTATCTCTAATAAGCCGGCAATTTCGCAATCATTTAAACAATAGTACTATTGTTTTCCTTTAATATCTATTATATTGCATACAAGGCTGTTGCCAAATCGTTAGATAGAATCTTTTCTTTTTCGAGATGCGCTTGCTGTATTTATCATGGTGAATCATATTTAATTTATCATTCTATCTTAACAACGCTGATCATAAAATTTATAATACTAACGTATGTTAATATTTTAATAGGACAGTAAATTCATCAGAGCGGAGCAAGAATAATGGAGAATTGCCAGGGCGTAACGACAGTGCTTAGACTGCTATTAAAAAAAATTAAAAGATCACTTTACTACTGATAAATATTACTTAGTATACGCAAGCGTGGACTTTATATTCAGAGAATATATTTATATAGTTGAGGAAATTATTTGAGAAGGCATTCTATTCTTTAATTAATAGTATATAGAAATTGAACAATACAATAATATATTAAGTAAATACAAGTGGGAATCATTTAGATCGGTCACGTGTTATTGAAACTATTCAAATAGCAACAGACATATAATGTTTTTAACTATTCGATTTGATATGGGCATTGCGACCAACTTCTTTTTTTTCTATTATCTTGGATTAGTTTTAGAAAAATATTAACATTTTCAATTGATAATAGTCGAAATATAGAACCGAGATGTTTTTAAAAAAATATCAAAATTTGTTTAGGCTACAATGTTGTCATAAATTATTGAATAAAAAAAATATAAATGCAAATGAATTATAAATAAAAGACATGTAGAAGTAAAATAACTTTTCTAAAGACAATAATCAAGCAAGATTGGAGAAAAAATCGGACAGGTGAATAGGAAAATTTGTATGTACCATACATCAAAATCAATGAGATAGATTTACAATCTAATAATGAAATCTAAAAGAACATTAACAAAGGAAAAAACGACGGATGATATCCAGAAAGATAAACATTTTGCTAACAACGCGTGCAGTGTAAACAAAAAATCTCGAGCCACCAAGCGCCACATTTTCGAACACTAGTAGCTAGTTACTTTCAAATGAATCGTGCAATAAATATTCAAGTTTAGTATATATATCCAAGAATGACCTTTTAATTGGTAATCCCATAAGTTTTGAACATCATTTGGGGCAAGAAGATGGATTTAAAAAATTCGAAAATGATAATAAGGTAATTATCAAATATCGAGTAAAGAGTTAAAAACTTTACTCGATATTTGATAATTATTATTATAATTATTTAAAAAAAAAAATACATCCAAGTGTTAAGCAGAGAGTGTTATCATTATCTGTTTTAAAAGGTATGCAACTGTAACAGAAATTTTTCAATATCGGTGATTTGGTTTTGATGTATTTGTTTCTTGAGATGGTCCCCTAGGGATGTTAGTAAAATTTCTCTTTTAGGCTGTTTATCGCGGAATATAGTTTAGTGAGTGTTGATCTGTGGTGTGCCAGCTCGCCACGGCTTCAATGGTGGTGACGTCATGACACGCTCCAGTTCTGACTTGTCGCAGCCCGTCTGTCAAATGTAGCGTTACGATCTCTTACGTGAACTGTCATCTACTGTTTCATTGTTTTTTGGCACTTGCCTGCTTATATCCGGTGTTTCATTCTGATAGATGTTTCCAATGTCTTGGAAATCTATATTGTTATTCTTAATTATGAGTTTTAATTTACTTTCTACATGAGTATGTAATTTAAAATTCTCAATAGTCAAAGACGCATTAAGGGTTTGACTACTTTTAAATGAAAGTATGGTTTAAAATAAAATATTGAGTTCTGGAAATGCTTTCATAATTTAAAGCTTATTACTTTAAATTTAGCTTAATTTTTAAAGCTAAGGATTCATGATTAAAAAGAAATCGAAGAGATAAAACATCATCTACATTATCGTATCTTATACTTATCTCATTGAAAAATTGTATTTCAAAATAATTTAAGCACATGATTAATTAATTAGAGCTTTCCGTAATTCAAACGTCGGTCGGGTTGAAGACTTAATAAAACTTATATTACGGTTTCCTCTCCTGCCTCACCATTTACGAAGGGTGCATAAATGAGGTCCGCATTAATAGCTACAGTGTGTAGTGTTTTGTTGCTTGCCACGTTAGACTCGACCACTATTCACTATGAACCTAAAATGGACTCATAATGGCCACTTGTTTTATCCATGCACCTGCTATTACCACATATTTGTTACCAGCAACTTTAATTGGTATCTTAAAATCTATTTGCGGGTATTCTGCAGTTGCAGTCTATGTGGAGTCGTTGGATGTTACCATAATTTAAAGTCTACCATAAAAATAGACACGGGTTTATGTCTTAACATTTAGCATGCACCAGTTCCAACCACATGGAAATTGACATTTGAGATTGTGTCTATAAGTATATAGATTTGTTTTGGATATGAATCTTTATTTTCAATGTAATTATCGAATAGTAAAATGTACCTCAATGGTGTTCCCGAAATGGTATCGACGCCCGCTGTCCAAGTTCCATGTGGTCGTGTGGTCGGTGCACACGCGCAGCGCAACGACCGTACTAACACGCTTATCACTAGACACTCACTGTAATCAGGCTTGTAGACCGCATTGATCCTCCTTAGCAACTTTCCAGTCCTCTGTAGCGGCGGTCCCAATGCGACGGCCGCGTGATCTCGCCTTTCCGCGAACACGATATAGTTACGTCGGATTATCAACGGCACTTCGAAACGTCCTGAACACTCGTGCGGGTCCTGTGGCGGCAGCTTGAGGCTGAAGACGGTGCCGTCCTGTGGCCAGTTCCCCTGGGGGTGGAGGACGCGCTTGACTTTGACGGTGGCGCTGTCTTTGCCGAGGGACTGGACGCGTGCCTCGAAGGCTGCAGGGGCCTGGTACGCTCGCCAGGCGACGTCCGAGCGCTCGCAGTAGAAGCGGCGGGGCGCAGCTGCAGCGCAAGCGGCGAGGCACAACAGGGCCCAGCAAAACGCCGCGCGCCCGCACGTCTTCATCGCGCCATCGCCGCAGCGTTTCGTATCCGCTCTGCTTACAAACGCGTTGTTACCCCGTCGGCGGCCGGCGCGCGACTGCCGTGGCCCCTACTTACTGAATCATTCGCTCCGCCCACACCGAAATAGTCTCGATACTCTGTAGAGCACGCGTCTCTGATTTATCTCGTCCGATGATTAATTTGCGCTTGTTACATGTAATTAGTTTGATTAGCACCTGATTAAGGGTGTATTGGATATTTTTAATATATGTGTTTTTTTTATCTTGTTTGCTTTAGATTCCTTATAATATAATAACAATTGATTTATTAAATTAATTGAAGATATATGTAGATTTTCTTGAGATCGGAGTTGTGATAATATATTTAGATGATTGGAGGACGGTGAATAATGTTTGTTTATATAGCGAGTAGTGGAGATTGTAACGAAATATTTTATCTAACGTGTTTCATATTGTAGCGCCGTCTACGGGGTCTGTAGCGCGTAGGCTCGTAGCTTTGACCTCTGTCGTAGACGCGCGACTACAAACTTTCACACAAAGTTTGCAAAGTATTCCTTATTTAATTTTTATTTGCGGTATTTATATAAGTTGTAAGGTCTCGTCGATTTTACTTTTTATTATGTGATTATTGTAGTTGTTAAGAGTAGTTTCGCTTGCGTGTAAGTCCTTATCTCCCATTCCTATGGGAATTTCGGAAAATTTATTCTTACTAAATAATTAATATCTATAATATCATATATAATAATTTGTATAATAAACAAGAGTTAATTCCAGTGATTGAGACAGTGTTTTGATAGATGAGAAAGATAGAGTGAACTTTTTTATATATTTGCGATAACTTATTACAGTTCGGTTGAAAATTCAATTAATACAATTAAAACCATACGCACAACGGCCCAAAAGAGACACTAAGCGCGGAAAATAGAGTCCAATTTACATTACAACTATTTAACAATACCATTAAATATTCAAGCGAAGCAACTTCTAAAAAGAGATATTTCTGAATTAGTCTGTAAATGTTTTTTTTTTTGCTAATGTTACTACAGTTCTGAACAGACTTTAATGGTTAGTTTTTTAATCAACAGAGTTTAATAACTTGATGATTAATACCTGCTGCTGATTTTCACCACCGTACAACCCGCCACAAACTAAAGTTTCATCCCAATCATCTGGACGAGTGGCGGTCTTCCACGGTGCGTTTTTCCAGGCACTTTCTTCCATGCACAACCATTCTTTGGAATCAACTTCCAGCAGCAGTATTTCCGAACCGATACGACAACATAACCTTCAAGAAAAGAGTATATTTCTTTTTAAAAGGCCGGCAGCACACCTGCAATGCCGCTGGTGTTGTGGGTGATCATGGGCGGCGGTAGTCACTTACCATCAGGTGAGCCGCATGCTCGTTTGCCCCCTGTGTTGTAAAAAAAAATATTTTGACGATTAATTTTGCGATTTTTCTCTGCCAAGGAAACAAATGATTATTGCCAAGCAAAATCTAATTTATATATTCGTTAAAAAATATTTAATTTAATCTAATTTATTTATTCAATTCTTTAGTGCACTAGAAACAAATATATACAATGACAATTGAATAATACATAAATACAGATTGAAATATATACATAAAGGTACAAAAGGCGGTCTTATCTAAATTATTATTAGGAAAATAAGTTATTATCTCACTAGTCTTTTAAAAATGTAACTACCGACTAAAGCGTCTTTCAAAAAAAGCGTTCACGCTCACTTTTTATCTTTATCCGAGCAGTAAGTGCTTTATATTATTCTTAATTTCGTGTATAATATAGTATACAACTTGGTATATCATATATGTGTAAGTATATTTGTTATTCATATATATTTATTCGTTTATATATGTAATTTTAGTACGTATGTATATCAATAATTACTAGTACCGCATTCGAGTATTCTGACACTTCCCTTTGGTTGACTGGGAGAGAATGCTTTTAGCATTAAGTCCGCCGTGTACACATATTTATACTAATGAATAAATAAATAAATAACTTTAATGTTTTAACTGTCGCCTCCCACGACACCCGGTGAGTCAAAGCCGAAAGGTCCCACATTAGATTCCCAATTCCCGGTCATAATCCGATCAGCAACGCACGTGCGTACCTCAAAGGTAAGCCCACAATGAAGGTGGTTCCGGTGTGCGCCCTTTGGGGAAAAAAATGACCATTCATACATAGTGAATGACGGCACTACCTGGGCCGTTTACAATTTTGTTTATCCCTTTTTTTTGGCGGATGTGAAGACAAATTGGTCACCGTTATGTCTTCGGACTGTGAGAAATGTTTGTGGCGTTTTCGGTGTTTTGTGGCGAGCTTAAAATGTTTATTTGCAACTTAACTTTTTTATTATTTTTCATAATTTTTTTTTTGGTTACACATAGATTTGCATAGGCTCTATTATTAGCAAAATACACTGTCATTTACATTTAGTTCTCCCTGGTTAATTCTTGATGATTTCATTACGACATTAACGAAATAACCTGCTTTTATGCTGACCTATCTTTCCTTATTGCCAGCGTGTATTAATACCGCAGACAAGATTATAATTTCTTATTATTTTAAAAAAAAAAACATTGAAATACCTACATACATTCTAAAAATATTACCCTCATTTCTTTCAACAGTCGGATAAGATAATTTTACAATTCAACAATAAGATTTCTTACGAAGATTGCATATTATAGAAACAACATCCATAGGCCTCCTAAAATTTAAAGAAAATGTATGTTTTGAGTCTAAACATATCTGCATCTATTTCTGCTACGTTGAAACGGGCGTGTTGGATATTAGGTTGATGAAAAAATTAAACAGATGGAAGAATGCAGATCTAGACTAGAAAAAGCTAAATGTCTAATAGAGGAGAGAGTTACTTTGTCGTTTGCTTGGGTACCTCTGTCCCATAAGTATTTCTGTTATAAAGCAGTAGTATTTGCATGGCTGTGTTTCGGTTTGATGGGTGAAATACAGCAAAAAAATTACAGAGTACAGGGGCATAACACCATAATCCTCAGGAATGGCAACACATGAGGGTTATTATTATTTCTTGTAATCGTTTGTGTTTATAATAATTTTACTATTGTAATCTTTGGGAAGAAACAATATAGAGTATCTATCTATATATTATGGGTGACACAGTATATTCTGTTATGTCCATGGTACTGTTCTTGTCTATAGCCGATGGTTACTACATTCCATCAGGTGGGCCGATAGATTATTTACCATTTTAAGTTGCATAAAAAATGGATGAGGATCTGATGTACTACTAAATTAATTAAGTATGAAATAAAATTGAAATGTAAAAAGATATTATTAAAATATTATGTAAGTAGCCTATAGGTCTAACATAGCACCCAGGGGTATTCACTAATACCTCGTCAGCATATATCGACCGATGGTTATTTTAGTCTTCTATTGTTCCAAGGAATTGTTTAGTTTGATAACTATTATTGCTGATTTCACCATTGTACAACTTGACATCTGACACGAAGTAAAATTCCATCCCAACGATCTGGATGAGCGGCGGTCTTCCACTGTGCGTATTTTAATGCACTTTCTTTTACACACAACCACGTTTTGGAATGATCTTTCAGCTGCAGTAGTTTCGAATCGAAACGACATCGTAAACGTTAAAAAAAGATCATTTTCCTTTTTAAAAGGCTGGCAGCACAATGCAATTCCACCAGTGTCGCGGATACTATTGGTTAACGGTAGTCACCATCAGGCGTGCCTTATGATCGTTAGCTCCCTGTGCTGTGAAAAAATAGGTATCTGTTGAGTCATCGTTATGCTGTCCCTGGTAACACATTAAAAATATATTTTAATATGGACTTATATATCATACTAGCTGTATTTCACAGCTTCGTATGCGTGAATTACATACATAAAGTATTCTATATGCTAAACTAGGATATAACCTACACGTGTACTAAATTTTATTCAAGTCCATTTAGTAGTTTTTGCATTAAAGAATAACATTCATTCATCAAGCTTTCACATTTATTATAATATTGGGCTGTATAGTTATAATAGTTTAAGACGTGTCTCGACAATTTTTGACGCAAGAAACAATACAGTTATAAATATTTATACGTACTATTGTCACGAGTATGACAATTTTTATCAATAAAAGCATGACCAAGTGAAGGTGTCTTTTGTTTGAGAACACGTGGTCACAATTAGTGGACTGTGGGAAAGTTTTTTTTGGCGATTTTCGAATAATTTGCGTCTCTACCTGGTGTACTATTTTATTTTACGAAACCTTTTGTTTGATACATGAATGGAATATACTATGAATGTAAGACCTATTCGTTGCAGTAGTTGGTTCGTAGTTTAAAAGTGTATTATTGGGTAAATATGTACTTGAATGAATGAATTTTCTAATTGTCATTATATATTTTTATGGTTTTGGTGCAATAAAGTGTTAAATAAATAAATGTATTTTTAGAAATAAACTTTTTTTTTTGTAGATTTTACAGTATTACACGAGTATATTATTTATTGTCTGTCTTGCCATCGTATGGGGAATTTTACCAGAGGGAGACTTTGTACAAAAAGCGTTTGCTTGGTCCTCTGTCCAATTAGTGTTTCTATCATGAGGCAGTTTACATGGCTGTTTCAGTTTGAATTAAATTAATTAATAATTTAATTCAAACTGGATGGATGAGTTAGATTACCAGTGTTTCTTGGCTCCTTAAATTATATACATAGACCTAATTGTCAAATGGAATGATTCATTTTTTTTATCAGTGTTCTATATAGTTACGTATAAAATGTATCTTGATGTAAAAAATATATATAGAAGTTATAAAGGAATCACTTCTCACTATTCACGCAGAATTGTATGAAAAAGTTGACCCGTTTTAGTTTTCTTAAAACATTTCTATGGCAACACTCTATCTATATACCAAATGTAAGGTTAGCTTATACTTATTAGTAAGCAATAACAGTAGGTAATATTATTCTACCTAAGCTATATCGCATGGAAGGGTCATAAAACTCTATATAAAATCACATAATATGCCAAAATAAATATTTGTATAGTGAACTGCGTT